CCTCCTCGACCTCAACCCACCCAAGCCTCCTCGACCTCAACCCACCCAAGCCTCCTCGATCTCAACCCACCCAACCCTCCTCGATCTCAACCCACCCAAGCCTCCTCGACCTCAACCCACCCAAGCCTCCTCGACCTCAACCCACCCAAGCCTCCTCGACCTCAACCCAACCGACCCTCCTCGACCTCCACCCAATCAACCCTCCTTGACCACAACCTATCCCACCCTCCTCGATCTCAAGTCCCCAAAGAGGATGAGGAGATGGACCCACGTGAGACACACTGAGAGGGAAATGGCTCCCGCTCCACATCACTCCCCTTTTCTTGTACCCTGGGCTACACCAATGGGACTGACCCTCTGTCAGGTGCATGAAAGTTCATACTATTTACAGAGCTCTTCAGAGTGAAAATCCCTTAAAAAATCAATACTAATACCAACATTCATCGGTTGAATCCACATTCCCTTTGATATACCCTCTAATTCCAGAGATGGTTCTAACACAAATTCTATTTTTCCCAAACACCCCCCTCCTCTAGCCTCTTTTGAATCCATTTCCCTTTTGAAGGTAAAGAATACTTCTGTAGAGTGAAAAAATAAGCCCTGATTTATCTCTTGGATAAGTTTGGGTTTCAAGGACTGCATTTATAATCAAACATTATCGGGCGGCGCCTGTGGCTCAAAAGGGTGGGGCACCACGTCCATATGCCAGAGGTGGCAGGTTCAAACCCAGCCTTGGCCAGAAAAAAAAAAAAAAATAATCAAACATTATCTGCCTGGCCTAACAAAGAGGAGAGCCAGAAGCACCAGCCCCTCAGGACGCCCCCCAGTCTGCACTTACCAACTTCTTAAACGCGTTCTGGCTTGGAGCATCCATGGCTGGAAACAGCAAGGAAGTGGTGCTGCGAGCTGGTCTCTGCCTAATTTATCTTAGTAGTCACAGTCAGTGGGCTGATACTAATTTGTATTAGCTTGAAAATATTAATTTGATAGTGGAATCGTGTGATTTAAACCAAGGCAATTGGCTGTTCATTTTTTTTTTCCTCAAGCTCACATGGCTTGAATACCGTCATGCTAAGACATGACAAACCACCAGCCAAGGTCCCCGGGCAGCGGGTGTGGGCTGGGTTCTGGCACTGCCCTCCTCTCCTTCACTACGCTCCATTGCTCTTACTGTTTCTCCTTAAAAGTCATGCCCAGTGACTTTTGGCCAGAAACAATCAGTTACCATCCATCTCCCAGTCTCTGAAACACACGGAGGTGTCCAAGCGTTCACCAGTACTGGTAAATATAAAGACACAGATGAGTTCTTATTTGCAAGGCGAAAGTGATACCACACCAGGGAGAAACAAGATGCCACGTTAATCCCCCTATACATCAGCCCCTGTTATGTAAGAAACCGAGATTTAAAAGAGGTCTTTATGGTCAGGTTTATTCTGGAAAAGCTGGCATCTACTGAAGGTGCTTTTTACATGTATTGGGTTAGCCAATGCTATGATTTATTTGTTCAGAGTGAGAAGAATTAGTCTCAGAGAATGCAAGGACACAAGAAAAATCCATCCACTGACTAAACCCATCATTCACACAGCAGACCTATGACTGCAAGGATCCCACCTTGCTGTGACAATGGCATTTAATCTAACCACAGATGAAGCCAAGAACTATTAGGTAATTAGAGACTGTCCCCAGTGTCTGGGTTATATAACATGCTCAGCTTTTAGGTTTCTTTCTATTGAATTCAGTAAATCTTAACAGCAAGCAAAGGGCTACACACTGGCTAATGTTTACTAAGGCATTCCCAGTGGCCTGGCAGGGCGAGTGGATTACGGTATTACCTCTTTTTCTTTAGTTAGTATCACACCATTTGTGTTCCGTAAGAAATCCATCAGAAAACCTTTTGTTCACTTCCCAAACATTGATTTTCTGCTCCTTCTGTACAATTTCAAAGTCAAATAGAACTCTTCCTGTTCTCAAGGAGCTCACAGTCTAATGGGGAAGTGAGCTAAGGAAATCAGTAATCACAACATAATTTGTGGTTTGTATAATGCCAAAAGGAACAACTTTTTGAAAAGATCCCTATCAGCAGGGGATCCACCCTCTGCAAATACACTTCAGCTAGCAGAAAACCCTTTGCATTTATGTATACATCAATTCATTAATCTGCCATCATTCAGTAGTGATGGATGTCTATCAGTGAGTGTGCCTGTCACCGTGCCAGGCATCAGAGAAGCAGTCCTTGCCCAAGTAGACACAGCCCTTGTCATCATGCAGCTCCCAGCTGGGGCAGGGGTGGGGAATAAAAATGAATCAATAAACAGTGGAATGCAGAGTGCTGTAAGCCATGGGAGCCTTCTGGGAGCACCTGTTCTGAGGGGCCAAGGCCTGCAAATGAATCAGAGTCACGCACACACAGTAGGAACTCTGGGTTTGTCGAAAGAGGGTAAGTAAATTAATTGACGTGTATGCAAGAGCAATGAGTTTGCTGCCTATGAGTTGCTCACTAGCCAGTGGCCGTCGTTCTAGTAGTTGCCCTGTGCGGTACTGATCACACTGCAGCGTGACTCTGTACGTGACCCAGGCAGGGGCAACAGAAGAAAGCAAGCATGGAACAGCTGAAAGACGCTCCAGGTAAACAAGCGATGGGGAGCAGAGAGCCTCGGGGGACCCTGGGCTGGGAAGGCAAGGACAGGTCCAATCACTCACCACTCAGTATGCCACTGAGATATTTCTGTTGTAGACCTAAGGGAGAAATTGATCTAGTGGTGCTTCAGAAACAACGCATTATAATTCTAAGTAAGTCTGAAGTCTCTTCCACTTAACACCCCTTCAACTTCTTTTTTCCTTTTTTCTTTTTTGAGACAGAGTCTCACTCTGTTGCCCAAGCTAGAGTGCCAAGGTGTCATAAACCACAGCAACCTCAAACTCCTATCCAAGCCATCCTCCTGCCTGAGCCTCCCGAGTAGCTAGGACTACAAGCGCCTGCCATGACACCTGGCTAATTTTTTTTAAGTTTTAGTAGAGATGGGGTCTCACGCTTGCTCAGGCTGGTCTCAAACTTCTGAGCTCAATTGACTCTCCCGTCAGCCTCCCAGAGTGCTAGGATTACAGGTGTGAGCCACCCTGCCTGGCCTCTAAACTTTCTACTTCTTAAAAATAAACATATCTTCCTCCTAGATCTTTCCTCCATAAAAATACATACAACACCCCCCTCAACCATCAGTTTGTGCTCATGGTTGATATATGAAGAACTCAAGTACAGAGTGTTCTACCTGAGAACACTTGCTACAAATTTGGGATTCCTGACAGCACTTAGTACGTAGCCCCTTCCAGCCCTGCACACTCAGCGGCCAAACAGCCCCTGTGCAAGAGACAAAGGTGACTAGGCATTGCTATTACTGCCTCTGACTTACAATTAATTACAAAGCCTACTTCATTAAATACTTCTCTTTAGAACCAAAAATGACACAGCATGGTCACGCCTTTTACCTAAACTTCTCATAGCTCATATGCAACCTTTGTTATTTCTGAGAATTGAGATTTCATGTGCGATATAGGAACTATGAGCTGTGTGGCCCAGAAGCAGAAATGAGATGATTATTCTCAGTCCTTTGCAACCGTGGTGGGGAAAAAATTCATGTTTTTATGAAAATTTACTGCTTTGTTTCAGGCTAACAGTCAGTTGAATCAATAAACATTTCCAGAGGGCTTCCTCCAGGGAATGCTTTGAATGGGATTCTGGGGCATAGCCTCTGCCTTCTTAATCAATATAATTGAACATTCTATTGAACACCTACTATGTACCAGGTGCTATGTCAAGAAACAAACAAAGTATAAGCCCCTGCTATCATTTGCTCACAGACAGATAATTACAGAATTGTAAAGCTGTAGGTCACCCTGAAAAGGTGAGGACGGGGTGTTTAGGCAGCCACCAGAGAGGAGACCCAGCAGCCTGGAGATCAGCCTTGTACTCTCCTGCACACCTTTGCTATGGAGCTACAAACAATTGCATCCAATTGCTGCTGCAGGGGGGCATCCTTTTTTCTATGAAAATCTTTACAAGCCACTCATCAAGATCTCCAAAGGTTCAGAGCTTTGAGGAGCAGTAAGTCATCTAACCCCTGGGTTACTCCCATCGATCCAGAACCCATCATGGGCAAAGGGCAATGTTTCCCTTTGTTTGGTAAAGCCAGAGAGGTTATCTCTGCCTTTAGCACTATCCGGGAAGTTCGTGTGGGGTCCACATGGGCTGGTTATAGATGGGCTGGGGTACCAATATAGCACAGGCCTTCCCAGGTTCCTCGAGTTTTCCAGAAAAGACAGCTTAGGAACAAAAGCCGGAGAGTGACAAGGTCTGATGATGGCGGAGTTCACAATAGGCCCACTGCGTTCCGTAGGCATCTCGGGGCCAGCTGGTCAGTGTGGCATTACCTGAATAACATGGTGCTATTTCTCCAGGATCTTTCTCCCACTGGGGTTTTGACAGGAGACCTGGGCCAGGAGTGGTCCCAGAACAGATAACAGAGGCAGCATGGCAGAGTGGAAGGGACTCTAGCCTGGGTAACTGCAGACGTGGGTTTGAACCCCAGCTCTGCCACTCAACAGTTAGGTGACCTGAGCAAACAAGTTAGCCTTTTTGAGTCTCAGTTTCCTCCCCTGTGAAGTGGCTGCAATAATATACTTTCAAAGGTTGCTATAGGATTTAAATGCAAGACCATATATAGTTCTTAGAGTATAGTAGTCACGCAATAAATAGTAGCAGTTGTTATTACTGGTTCTCAAATTTAAACCAGTACAGCAGCTTAAGTAGACATCACAGACCCACGCCATTTGGGGTCTGCTCTGCAGCCAGATGGGCTGTACTGGAAGCTACAGCTGATGGAGAGAAAGGCTTCCAGGTGAGGGTGACAAAGTTGACATGACAACATAACTTGTCTATGAACTCTGCTGGCCTCAGAGCCTGTCCTCCCAAAGTGGAGCAGAAGGCCTGGGAAACATCAACACGCTTTCTAAAGGTTTGCCTAGAATCAAGACAGAAGCCTTGGCTTAGAGAGCTGGGACAGGACAGAGGGAGAGAATTGTCCTTGGGAAGGCTGAACAGAGGTGGGGTACCCAAGCTTGACACCGTTCTTCTTTTACCATGAATGTGAACTAGGTTTGGAGCTGTAGAAAAGCAGCCCCTGACACCTAGGAGCCAGCCTGGGAATATTAGTGAGGCCTTGGTGTTTGGGGAGGTGGGGATGGGGATGGGGGGGCATAGGTGGTCCAGGCACTTGCAGCCAGGTCTTGCTATTTTCCTGTTCAGCACAAACAATGTCACAGACCATCAAAGTCAGACAAGACCACTCTGATCATGATGGATCAGAATAGAAACCACCATCATCGTGTCTGAACACCAACAAAAACACGAACATTGTCCAAACCTCAAATGTCCAGGTGCCCCCAACCCTGGCTATTCTGAGTCACTGCTGCTTATTCACCAATCCTGGCTGCAGCCCCACTCCAGCCTTCTCTCTAGATAATAAGATTTAGCGACAGATTCAGTCATAGAATTGTTCACATTTCCTGAGCGCCTAATCCGGGGTATTGCTCCCTTAAACTTGCCCCACATCACCTGAAAAACGCCCAAATCCTATTCAAGGAGTTTCTGACCCCCTCTCAGTGAGACTCTCCGAGGCTGCTCCTGGCTGCAGAAAGCCCAACTTGCTCAAATATAGGTGTGTTCTTGCTTTGTGGCTGGAAGGCATCACCACCACAAAAGACCATAAAGGCACACAAAGTAAGAGGTGTAACTAAGAGGTAATAAAATACTTTTTACAAGCCAATTGGTGAAAACCAATTCCATCCTGTGGCTTCCAGAAGTCACACACGCATATGTACACTTTGTGCCTGTCTCTGCCTCCGTAGGAGGAAATGA